GGAGGAGAGCAGGTGGGAGACACTACACGTGTAGTGTCTCGGGTTTAGCCACTGCCCAAATATATTAGTTCACTCACTTCCGAGAGCGCAATTCGACCGCTCCCACATAGCTCCGCTGCTGAAATGAAGAACTTACCTCCCGGCAGGCCCTTGGTCCTCGCTCTCACTGCTCCCGCTGCTGCTGCTGCTAAAAATGGAGGCCGCTGATTGCACGAGGTAAGTTTTTTAACTGGGAAACTTACCTCCCGGCAGGCCCCTGGTCAAGTATCGATTGGTCAAACCAGGCCGGTCATGGCAGCCTTGAGGAGGGGTTCATAGAATGCATCCGCGACAATTTCCTTGAACAATATGTAATGGAACCTACGTGGGAGCAAGCTATCCTAGATCTAGTCCTGTGTAATGAGACAGGAACAATTAATGATCTCACAGCTGGGATCCTCTCGGAAGGAGCGATCACTGTATGCTCAAATTTAAAATACAGATGGAGCGTGAGAAGATTAAATCCAGTACCAATGTCCTGTGCTTAAACAAAGGAGACTATGATGGGATGAGGGAGGAGTTAGCTAAGGTAGAATGGGAACAAAAACTTTTATGGTGGGTCAATTGAGGAACAGTGGAGGACTTTCAAAACGATTTTTCACAGTGCTCAGCAGAAGTATATTCCACTGATAAGGAAGAACTGTAGGAAAAGAGATAGTCAGCCATGGATGTCTAAGGAAATAAAGGAGAGTATCAGATTTAAAACAAAACATACAAAAAGGCAAAGATTAGTGGGAAACTAGTAGACTGGGAAATCTTGAGGCCAACAGAAAGCCACAAAAAAAGTTATAAAGAAATGTAAGATGGATTATGAGAGTAAACTTGCTCAGAATATAAAAACAGGCAGCAAAAGTTTCTATAAATATGTAAATCGTAAAAGAGTGGTGAAGGTAAACATTGGTCCTTTAGAGGATGAGAAAGCCAATTTAATAACTGGGAATGAGGAAATAGCCGAGGCATTAAACAGTTATTTCGTGTCGGTCTTCACAGTGGAAGACACAAATAACATGCCGAAAACTGATGGCAAGAAGGTTATAGCAGGTGAGGACCTAGAAACTATCATTATCATTAAGGAGGCAGTGCTGGGCAAGCTAATGGGGCTAAAGGCAGACAAGTCTCCTGGCCTTGATGAAATGTATCCCAGGGTACTAAAAGAGGTGATGGGGGAAATAGCAAATGCTCTAGTAATTATTTACCAAAATTCACTGGACTCTGGGGTGGTTCCCGCAGATTGGAAAACAGCCAATGCGACGCCACTGTTTAAAAAAGGAAGTAGACAAAAAGCAGGTAACTATAGGCCAGTTAGCTTAACTTCGGTAGTGGGGAAAATGCTTGAATCTATCATTAAGGAAGAAAAAGCAAGACATCTGGATATAAATTGTCCCATTGGGAACACCCAGCATGGGTTCATGAAGGGTAGGTCATGTTTAACTAATTTGGTGGAATTCTTTGAGGACATTACTTGCATGGTGGACAATGGGGAACCTGTGGTTGTGGTGTATCTGGATTTCCAGAAGGCATTTGACAAGGTGCCACACCAAAGGATGCTACATAAGATAAAGTTGCATGGTATTACAGGTAATGTATCGGCGTGGATAGAGGATTGGTTGACTAGTAGATAACAAAGAGTAGGGATAAATGGGTGTTTTTCTGGTTGGCAGTCAGTGGCTAGTGGTGTGCCTCAGGGATCAGTGTTGGGACTGCAATTATTTACAATTTACATAGATGATTTGGAGTTGGGGACTAAGTGTGGTGTGTCAAAATTTGCAAATGACACTAAGGTAAGTAGTAGAGCAAAGTGTGCAGAAGACACAAAGTCTGCAGAGGGATATAGATAGTCTAAGTGAGTGGGCGAAGGTCTGGCAGATGGAGTACAATGTTGATAAGTGTGAGGTCATCCATTTTGGTAGGAATAACAGCAAAGTGGACTATGTTTTAAATGGTAAAAAATTGCAGCACGCTGCTGTGCAGAGGGACTTGGGTGTCCTTGTGCATGAATCGCTAAAAGTAGGATTGCAGGTGCATCAGGTAATTAAAAAGGCAAATGGAATTTTGTCTGTCATTGCTCGAGGGATGGTGTTTAAAAACAGGGAGGCTATGCTGCAGCTGTATAGGGTCCTGGTGAGGCCACACCTGGAGTACTGTGTGCAGTTTTGGTCTCCTTACTTGAGAAGGGATACACTAGCACTGGATCGGGTGCAGAGGAGATTCACTCGGTTAATTCCGGAGTTGAGAGGGTTGGATTATGAGGAGAGACTGAGTAGGCTGGGATTATACTCATTGGAATTCAGAAGAATGAAGGGAGATCTTATAGAAACATATAAGATTATGAAGGGAAAAGATAAGGTGGAGACAGGGAGGTTGTTTCCACTAGCAGTTGAAACTAGGGCTAGGGGGCATAGCCTCAAAATAAAGGGAAGCAGATGTAGGACTGAGGTCAGGAGGAACTTCTTCACCCAATAAATTTTTGAACAGTAAAGGAATTAAGGGTTATGGTGAGTGGGCGGGTAAGTGGAGCTGAGTCTCAAAAAGTTCAGCCATGATCTTATTAAATGGCGGGGCAGGCTTGAGGGGCCAGATGGCCTACTCCTCCTAGTTCTTATCTTCTTATGTACAATTTGACCTGAACGGTCTCCTATACAATGTTCCCAATCTAATTCAATGTAGGACAGCATGTTAGATGCAGTAGATTTATCAATATTTCAATAATATTTAACTTCAACCTCCTGGTTCATTGTATCCGATTTCCGGTTGGCCTTGTTGATGCTTTAAAACCAATTTGAGGTTTCCTTTGCTAAGACTTGCGTTCCCTTTGCTGTAAGGGGCCTGGAGTCAGTTTCTGTCCACATGCTTGAAATTGCTAAGTTCTGTAGGCAAATTCTTTGTATGAAGGAAAGTAGTTTCCACTTTGCTTATGTAGGATTGGTTGCATTTGCTTGGCTGAATTTCTGTCACCACCTCTAGAGCAAACAAGCATAACAAGTTTTGTAATATTGTTTTTTGAATGTTAAAGCTCCATCCTGTGGAGGATAAAATAGTAACAGCTGTTCGTGGGTTAAGTACTTGAGGACAAGTCTGAGATATTCATCCATATTCGGAGTTAGTTTGATATTTGGTGTATGGCAATTCAGAGAAGAAGTTAAGAAGTCAGTCTTGTGTCTTGGGAAGATTGGAGGGTGGTCATAAGAGCAGAAGTAAGAGAGTTGATCCCTGAGTATGTTCAGCCATTCCATGAGATCATGTGACCTAACTCCATGTACAATATAGCTTCCCCAAAGAATGGTACCCAGAGGTCCTCTTCAGAATCTGTATGTAATCTACACTGGGCTTTGTATCCTGTTTCAGAACTAGTCTCAAGAAAAGCTAATATAAATGCTGTAGGATTTGTTTTATACCATTGTGGGCAAGGAAAATAGTTACAATCGTTCATCATGCCACTGCTTTTTTGATAAATGTTAATGACCTGAAATTTATTTGTTGAAGATCTATGGCTTTTACTTTCATTGAGGTAGAGTGCAGCACTTGTTTGTTTCTTTATTTTACTGGATCACTGATTTTCAGTGCTGATTCTTTTGTAAGCCGTTACTGGTGTTTACTTCTGAGCTTGTCATCAAGACATGAAGTGATTGCTGATGTATTGTAACATACTTCCCTAAACACATCATGCTGCAAGAGAACAGAGCCCAGTAAGATGGAGACTGCAAGTTTTGTACCATTAAATCACCCCATAATACAGTGATACATCATGTGAATGCCCCTTGATGGTATATCAGCCATCTGTTGAGATATCATGCACAACAACTGTATTTTATCAGAAAATCAATTTGTAGTTAAGCATGGGTAAGCAACGGGAAATGCAGTAAAATCTGAAGGTAATCTAGCGCACACTTTCAGATCAATGCAAGCCACAGGAGGAAACCTCCTAGGAGAAGCTATGGAGTAAAGCTATTGAAGACTGGAGGAAAGAATGGTATTGAGCAGTTCTTCAGAGAACTTGAGTAAAAGCAAAGTATTGTGAATGCTGAAGATGTGAAATAAAAAAAGTTCTTGAGTTCTGCAAAGCAGGAATATGTGACTTGAAACTTTAACTCTATTTCTGTCTCCACTGATGCTGCCAGACTTGCTGTGTATTTGTAGAACTTTGTTTTTATTTCAGATTACTTGCTAATTTGTAGCTTGCTACCCATTGTTAAATTCAGCCATGAATTCAGTGCCTTTATTCAACATGTTTTAGGGGGGGTGGGGGAATTAGGTTGGGAAGTGATAGCTTGGAATTGTTTGCAGTTGAAAGCTGCTAAAGCAGAAGTTGACTCAAGGATAAAAGTGATGTCTGGTGTGTGTGGTTAAAGACCTTTCTATCTGTAACTTCATATAGTACTATACCTTGTTACAGTTGGCCCTGTAGTTGTTAGTACTGGTATTGTTGAAACCTTAACATCCTCTTCCCTCCAGTGACGTGAACCTGTTGATGAGATTGAAATTAGAATTAATATTTTAATACATGGAATGGCCACTGAAGTGGATGTAAGGAGAATTCTATGGGAAGTGCATTGAGCCACAGTCAGCTTATTTAATTTGTAATTCTGAAAAGGCGTTGAGAGGGTTGAGGCCTAGATATGGCAAAAAATATAGTCCAGTAAAAGTCTTATCATTGCAGGAGCATTATGATCAAATATACTTTTTTAAGCCTCACCAACAACATTGGTCAGTGCTTAAATATGTGTTCTGTATAACTCAAAACTGAAAAATGTCTGAACTCTCCATGAATAAATAATCTAATGAAAGATCATTGACCTGAAATGTTAACTCATTTTCACAAATGCTGCCTGATGACTATTTCCAATATTCTGTTTTTATTATATTGAAATGCAACATACTTGCATATACTTTTTAAGGTGAAGTGTTGGTGTTCACTCAAGGTTATTTCAAGTTGTAACTCATGACTTCTTGTCCATGTTCAGGTGCCTGGAGTACCTGCTCCGAAATGATGCAAATCCTGGAATTCGAGATAAACAGGGCTATAATGCAGTGCATTATGCAGCTGCTTATGGGCACCGTTTATGTCTTGAACTTGTAAGTCTGTTCATTTTTTTTTTAAACTGAGAAACTAATTACTAAATATTTTGATAGATGTAATAGAACTGAGAAATTAGGTAATTTGGAGGTAGCAAATGTGTTAAGTTCTGTATTCCTCTATGTTGTAGAATGACCTTGATCTGTGTATGTGGACTTCAGTATGGTTGCCATCAACAAAGTATTGCATCAGGCATTATGGATTTTTCGTTATTTATACCCCCAAAGCTCTTCACAGCCAGTGAATTTCCATGAATTGCAGTTGCGAGAGGAAATGATGGAAATGAATGAATGATTAATCTGCTTTCTCATTATTTTGGTTTAGAGAGGGATGTTAGCCAAGATACCAGAAGAACTGTCAATCAGTGTGGAGTGGAAAAGCCCAGCAGGTCACACAGCATCTGAGGAGCAGGAAAGTCAACATTTCAGCATGAAATGTTGACTTTCCTGCTCCTTGGATGCTGTCTGACCTGCTGAGCTTTTCCAGCTCCACATTTATTGACTCTAGCTTCCAGCATCTGCAGTGCTTACTGTCTCCATACCAGAAGAACTGTTTTTTTTAAAATATAACCATGTTAAATTTTGCATTTTAATAAACTGCAATTTTCATTTAAAGTCATACCAAGCGACGTGCTATTTTCACAGTAATTCAGTAAAGTGCTATTCTAGACTGAGGTTCGGATCTCAAGTGGTGAAAAGCCCATAACCTTCTGAACCAGTATTGAAACTGCTACCAACTAAACTAAGTAGATTCCACAATTCATAGTCAGAGCTGTACACGGGTGAATGATCTGTCTTGTCATTTCTTTTTCACCTAATTTGGGGGCAGTAAACCTGTTTGTATGATTCCATGTGTCTGCTTATAAAATACACAATATGTAGCACAGCCACGGCTACTCATTCCACCTACTTTGCTACTCCACGCGAGTCATGAAGTCCCTTCCCGTGTACCTACCTGATATCAGTATTTCACCATATCCATACTTTCACAGTTCCTCTACGTAGTTTCCTTTTCAAAGCATCTAAGCCACTTGTCTTGGACCATTTTCACTATTATTAAATCCCATATTTTAAATACAGTATTCCAGTACATAAATTTCCCCTTACTTCCTGAATTGATCATAATTGGCTAACTGGCTTGTATTTATGGCACCAGGTTTTGGTATTGCCTCCATGTGGAAACATTATTCTCCCCACATCTCTCCTGTTCAACCAATTCTTAAGGATAGGAGTCTTAACCTTTTCTATCTTTCCCAATAGCTGCAATCTCCAAATTCCAGTAATATTTAATAGTTGTAGTAAACTTAGATTTCCAAAATGAGATGCAGTATCTCACTAAATTTTATGGACTCATGGCTCATGGTATAATAACATTGAGGATTGGTTAATGTACAGGAAACAGAGTGGGCATAATTAGTGCATTTTAAAGTTGCAGACTGGGGCTAATGGACTATAGCAAAAGTCAGCAATGGGTCTTATCTATTGGTAATATACATCAATGACCTAGATGAAGAGATGGATAGTAATGTATCCAAGTTTGCTGATGATACAAAGCAGGTAGAAAGATGACTTGGGAGGAAGACACCAGAGCCTGCAAAGATATAGACAGGTGAAATATGTGGGCAGCAAATAGCACATTGAGTTTACTGTATGTAAGTAGCGTGGGATAGAATGGTGGGTGGGAAATGCAGGCAGGAGTAAACAATAAGTGGAGATGGAGCCCAGAGAGAGACAACAGATGTGGGGCAGACAAAGGAATGGTGAATTGGGGAGAAAGAAAAGCTGCTAATGGGGACCATTTGTGGGCATTGGCTGAGGTGAAAACAGCTTGTATGATGACAGGGCCGGGTGTGTGGGGGGTTGAGGGAAAGACATGGAAGAAGGAGCTCAAGCCTTAAAATTATTGAACTTGATATTGGATCCTGAAGAGGTCCTGATCTTCAAACATCATCTCATTTTTCGCTTGGGGACACTGAAGGTTGCAATGTTGGGATGAATTTTTGGAATTCTGTTGCTTTGCCATCCATGCCTGGGTCTGGCCTGCATGTGACACTAGACAAACAGCAATGTGACATTCGTATCTTAAATCCCTCAATGGCTCCTTAATGTAACACAAAAAAGCAGGACAAATATAACTCCACCAATTACAGCCACGTCACTCTACTCTCGATTGTCAGGGAAATTTTGGAAGGTATCATCAGCAGTGCTATCAAGCAACACTTGTTTAGTAATAACCTGCTCAGTGACTCTCATTTTCTGAAGAAGGGTCTAGGCCCGAAATGTCAGCCTTCCTGCTTCTCTGATGCTGCTCGGCCTGCTGTGTTCATCCAGCTCCACACCTTGTTATCACTGACTCTGCTAATAGGTTTCACCAATGTTTCTTACTCTAGGCATCTTACAAGCCTAGTTCAAACATAGACAAAAGAGCTCAGTTCCAGGGGTGACATGAGTGTGACTGTCACTTACATTAAGGCCATGCTTGTCAGAGTATGGCAGCAAGAATCCTTAGTAAACCTGGAGTCAGTGGGAATCAGGGAAAACTTGCTGCCGGTTGGAGTCATACCTGGCAGTTGTGGTTTTTGGAGATCAGTCATCTCCGGTCCGAGGGCATCACTGCAGGAGTTCCACAGGATAGTGTCTTTGGCCCAACCAGGCTCAACTGTTGCATCGATGAACTTTCTTCCATCATAAGATCAGAACTTAATGGTAAGGTCCTGGGGAGTGTTGCTGAACAAAGAGACCTTGGAGTGCATGATCATAGTTCCTTGAAAAGAGAGTCACAGGTAGACAGGATAGTGAAGAAGGCATTTGGTATGCTTGCCTTTATTGGTCAGTGCAGTGAGCATAGGAGTTGGGAAGTCATGTTGCGGCTGTACAGGACATCGGTTAGGCCACTTTTGGAATACTGTCTCCCTGCTATAGGAAGGATGTTGTGAAACTTGAAAGGGTTCATAAAAGATTTACGAGGATGTTGCCAGGGTTTGAGGGTTTGAACTAATAAGGAGAGGCTGAATAGGCTGGGGCTGTTTTCCTTGGAGCGTCAGCGGCTGAGGGGTGATCTTAGAGGTGTATAAAATCATACAGGGCATAGATAGGGTGAATAGCCAAGGTCTTTTCCCCACGGTAGTGGAGTCCAAAACTAGAGGGCATAGGTTTAAGGTGAGGGAGAAAAATTTAAAAGGGAACTGGGGAGCAACTTTTTCACACACATGGTCGTGCGTGTATGGAATGAGCTGCCAGAGGAAGTGGTGGAGGCTGATACAATTACAACATTTAAAAGGCATCCAGATGGGTATAAGAATAGGAAGGGTTACAAGGGATATGGGCTAAATGCAGGCAAATGCGACCAGATTAATTTAGGATTTCTGGTTGGCATGGACAAGTTGGACCAAAGAATCTGCTTCCATGCTGTACAATTCTATGTCTCTGTGGGGATGTTCGCTGATAATTGTGCAGTATTCAGCAGCGTTTGGAACTCCTCAGGTACTGAAGCAGCCCATGTCTAACAATCACACCATGCAAGTACCAGGCAATTATCATCTCCAACAAGAGAAAATCTGATCATCACTCCTTGACATTCGGTGGCAGTATTATAACTGAATTCCCCATTGTCAACGTTCTATGTTTTACTATTGACTAGAAACTGAGTTGGACTAGCCATATAAGTGGGGTGACTACAAGAGCAGGTCTGATGCGAGGAATTCTGCAGTGGGTAGCTCACCTCTTGACTCCCCAAACCCTGTCAATTATCTACAAGGCCCAAGTCAGGAAATTTGATGGATACTCCCCACTTGCCTTATGAGTGCAATTCCAACAGCACTTCAGAAGCTTGACACCATCCAGGACAGAACAGCCTGCTTGATTCCCTCCAATGCTGACAAAGCAGTGTGTACCACCCACAGAAGATGCACTACAGAAATTCACCAAGGCTTCTTGGACATTACCACTGCCTTCTGGAGGACAAGGGGAGCAAATATTTGCAAACATAACCACCTGCAACTTCCCCTGCAAGTCACTCACCATCATGACTTGGAAATAAATCGTTATTCCTTCAGTGCCACTAGGTCGAAATCCTGGAGCTCTCTCCCAGATAGAATTGTGGGTTTACCTACCAAGAAGGCAGCTCACCACCAACTTCTCAAGGGCAATTCCGGACGGTCAACAAATGGGCAGAGATGCCAAGGTCCCGTGAATGATAAAAAAAAGAAAAAATTCCATGCAACCTTCTGATCATGTGTACTATAACCAGTGTGCCAGTGATTAATGGATACTGAATCCAGGAGCATAGGCAATCACTGCTCAAGTGGACTGCTTTGCTAATGGTTTTGAGCTTCCGAGTATTTTTGTAACTGCATCATCTGTTTTCATAAATTGAGCCTTGTAAATAGCTGAGATTTTAGCAGGGATAAAATGAGCCATTGTGTTGATGTGACTGGTCTAGTTTAATTTCTGATCTGTAATCTGTAATGTAATAAGCTGGGAACTAATGAAAGTTGGGGGCAGTTGGCTGCTTTCGCATTCGAGATTCTCATTACTTGACACCATGTACAGTGTCGTTTGATCATCATCAGCCCAAATCTATATGTTGATATGGGATTATTACAGGCTGACAAAGGGTTGTTTTATTGTCAGAGGTTTGCATGTGCAGTTGAGTGCTGGAATCATTGACGGCAACCCTATTTTTGACTTTATGACAGCAGAAAATCATTGGTTTAATCACGAATAATTTGGTTCAATGCTTACATTTCTGATTGACCAGCATTGTTTTCAAAGTAGAGCAACTATTTTCTGTTCTTTGTAAATACATGAGTTGGATGCAGAATGTTTCCTGGAAGAAGTTTTGCAATGTTATCTTAAAGCTGTGATGACTGATCTATCATTAACAGCAATCTTTGAGAGGTTTAACTGCAGGATTTAAACTTTGATCTCTGTTAACTTCAACTTTTGTACGGTTTCATACTTTGTGCTATGTGTATTTATGGAAAGGACAACTACTCTCTTCTCTGACAAGTAGCTTCTTTGTCCAAGGTTGATCTAAAGTTAAACGATTCTGGTGTAACCCAAACTGAGCATTGTTGAGGTGGTTACTGAGTGAGTAGGTTTTGCTTATTGACGGCCCCTGTCATCTGATCTATATAGACCATCATAAACCATTGAGAAAAATTCATAGATGGAGAATAGTCATGTCATTCAAATGTTTCAAACAGTTTGCATCAATTGGACATGCCTGTGCACTTATTTGTTGCTAATACTCTGACATTCCCCACCTTCTTTAGGAAAAAAATAGATTTGGAACACAGATTGCCAAAATCAGCGGACCAATTTCAATTTGAAATGGTTTTGTGGAATATAAAAACAATTGTTAGTAAATATTTTACATCCTTCAAACAATGTATTGCACATTGTTCTGTGAACTTTGAGCAATAATTTACCGAATAGCTACCATACCTAATCTGGACGGTAAATGCCTTGATAATTGTTCTGAAAATCATTTTAAGCTTTACTGCAAGGCAAGATTAATGAGCAAAGTGCAGTGTAAAATTTTGCTTTCACTGTGTTTTTCACCAAGTCTGCACAATGGAAATGATTTATGTGTCTTCCGCCATCAAACCCATTGTATGGGGAGAAAACAGTCCTGTTCATATTTCAAGAAATTTACTTTCATGGAAATGAAATTGCATATTCGCCACAGTCGTTTCATGATTGGTTTGACAATCTATCCTGCCATTGTTTCCGAACAGAATTGCTAGCCACATTTAGTTGGTTAAAAAAACGTAGATTGCCACTCTTCTTGAAATTGTAATGAGTCACCGGGGAAAAAGGGCGGTGAATATTTTGAGTTAGCCTGAGTCCGTTTCCTGCAGCAGTATATCTGACAACAAATGAGGGACTATGTCACATTATGATTAGTAATGAACAATGAACTAGCCAGGTTTTGTCAACAATCTAATGGTGCATGGACATTTTTCTAAAAGAAATCTATCAAATTCAACTTGTGACTTAAAAGCAAAAACTCAAAATAACCATTAAGATTCTGTATTTAGCTAATGTTGACTTCAAAGGGATCAGGTAAAGACTGTTCACAATAAATTGGTCAAGTCTGCTGATGGGCAAAGGGATAGGAGATCAGTGGAAGTGTTCTTAAAAAACTCGGTATGCTGCGCAGCCAGTTTATATGCCAATAGAGCAAGAATTGGACTTCCCAAAATAAAATACACTAACCATTAAAGAAGCAAGTAACAAGTTAAAACAAATAGACCCCGGCAAATGTGACAGTGTGAAGACCAGCAAAGGGTGATTGAGCTACAGAAAGGATCATTGAAGACTCTCAAGGGATATCAAAATCAGTGTAAAACTGGTTTTGCAATTACATTTAGGAGGAAGAAGGTGGTCAGCAGCATTGTTAGTCTTTTGACAACTGACGATGTTCACGTTGCCAATGGAAATAAGGAAGCATTGGATGCATGATTATTTTGGTTGGGTATTTACAGTAGTAGAAGAGTCAGCTTACAAGCCATCCAAGAAAACTGATGCTGCATCAAGAACAGGACTCACTCCAAAATTAACATGAGAAAAGTAACAGTAATGAAAACTAGCGGCAGCAAAGAGTGACAAGTGCCCAGAATTAAGCATTATATCTTTTATGCTGTGAATCCATACATTATATATCTGTTCATGTAAAAATAAATTAAGCCCTGTGTTTCATTTTATTTTTAGACATGATGTGTAGAGTCAAGGGGTTGCTTAAAACTTTTGAGCTTTTACCATTTAGTAAATTGTTTTTTTTAAACTTTTCCAGATTGCTAATGAAACTCCTCTAGATGTAGTAAGTTATTACATTCATTTCATACCTTGCATCCTAATTGTTTGTCATTTAATGTCATAGCCTTTAATGCATAGATGTGAGGTTGTGCTAAATATATTAGTTTTGTGTGTTTAAAACCCACTTAATTGCTCCCCTTTTTCATTGCTATTTTAACATTGAATATATGAGTCAATTCAATCCTTTATTTTTCCAGAACAGGTTAGCTTGCATACAGTATCAAATATTGCAATATTATTTTGCATCAGTATCCTATCATGCAAAAAAGATGTAATAGCATTGCTTCCAAAATGTCCATTAATAGATATAGTATTCTTTGATTTTTGCCATATATAGTTGCAAACCTTAAAAAAAAAAAGCAAGAAAAGACTTTAAAGTCACTCCCTCAAGTGTATCAAGTGAGCATAATGAAAGGTTATGTGCTGACTTCCACATTGCTGGCAATGCAACTTGCTGGAGAAAGCAAAATGTTAGGCCTATCTGAAAGACAGGATTTCTTGACCCCATTTATTTACGAAAGTATTCAACAGCCCTCAACAAAATCTATTGATATTTGTATCTATAACCTCTAAGTTTTTTGCCATCTCTCCCGAAGTTTATCCCATGAAGCTTTATACTGTCTCTGTATTAACATTTTTCTATCTAAGATTGAATATATACTGCCAATGCAAAGAACTTGTGTTGATTGTCTTTGTCCATGTAATATTTATTTTCTAACGTATCTTATCTATTTTCTTAGTTGATGGAAACTTCAGGTACAGACATGCTGAATGATTCTGATAACAAGGCACCCATCAGTCCTTTGCATTTGGCTGTAAGTATAAAATGCTTATACAAATGCTTTTGCAGGGTATCTGTCTGAAGTATATCTGGATTGTACAAAACATTTCAGTCAAACCACTTAACTAGTTGTTCATGTCCAGTAATGGATTGTAATTGTTGTGCAATCTGGGATGTATTTATATGTAACTGTTGTATTCTAGTCACCAAGCTAACCTAATGAACATAATGTAGTTTTATACAGTTTTTGAAAAAGCATTTTCATATATTTTTGACTGTTATTGTAGCCGGAACTTTATGATGTTGAGTGGGGAATATGATTTTATTTACCAACTACTTTAAAATCACAAGCAATGTACAAACCCTATTATAGATCGTAACTCAAATTGTAAGCTAATTTGTTGTCGATTAAACGGTAGACAATTTGAGCTATGTTCTTCTTTGAAGTGACTTTACTGACTTCCCATTGGAAGTGGATCTGAAATTTTGGAATGTTAATGATTGATTTCTCCTGCAATATTTGGAAGTGCAGGTTTTATCATATAATTTTAAAATATTAAGTTTTACATTTCTTGTAGTGTTTATTCAAAATGCATTTTTTTTTGTGCTAAGCAAAATCTCTTTTCAACTTTTTCAGGCTTACCATGGACACCACCAGGCCCTAGAGGTACTGGTACAGTCTCTCTTAGATTTGGATGTGAGAAATAATAATGGACGCACTCCGTTGGACCTGGCAGCTTTCAAAGGGCATGTAGAGTGTGTGGACGTATTAATCAATCAGGGAGCATCCATTCTTGTTAAAGATTTTGTGACTAAAAGAACCCCAATTCATGCTGCAGGTATTTGCAGATTTTGTTAAAATATTGTGCGGAATGAATTTCACCAAATTTTCATTTTGTGCTCATGCAAAACCTACATTAATGCTATAGTGTAGGAAGTTGCTACAATGTGGGACTTAAGAATTGTAGCACAGCAAAGGCAGTTCACAAAACCAGAATCCAAATAACCTGGATATGGTATAAGTGTAAGTGCCGTTTACTTACCTTTTCACCATACAATCTCCTGAAGAAGTAGAAGGCAAAAAAATTGGTAGAAAGTTAGAGAACTTGATATTAACTTACAAAAACATCCAGAAAACTTCTCTACAACTTCCAAATGCAGAAAAAATCTGTGATGGCTTTAAGAGATAGCAAGATGCTGAGTTTCTCCAGCATTTTCTGTTATGTTTTGGACCATTTCTGCCTGTTTTCTACCTCAGTAAAGTTCCTCAATTTCACCCCACCTCAATTCCTTCCCTGCTGAAATCTTCATCTATGACTTTGTGATCACCTACATTTATCTGTTCCAGTACAGTGCAGGCTTGCCTCTCGCATTCCAGCCTGTATAAACTTAAGGTAATCTAAAACTCTGCCCAGTGTCCTAACTTGTGTCAAAACCCTACATCCATCACAGCTGGTTTGCTGACCTACACTGGTATCCAGTTATTTATATATTGATAAAAGGTAAACCATTTAACACTGAAATAAGGAGAAATTTTTGGAATTCTCTATTCCTGACGACTCTGGATGCTCAGTCATTGAACATGTTTAAGACATCAATAATGCCCAATGATACTGAGTTAAATGGCCAGCTAAGATCTAATTGAATGGCAGAGCAGGCTAGGTGGGCTGAATAGCTCATTCCTGTTTCTTTGTACAAATGTCCAAAATACAAGATATCAGCATTCCTTCAGGATCCAATGCTGAAAGGTCAGGTATTCCCTCCATTACACGCCTCTACTTCTCTTTCCTCCTTGGAGAATCTCATTAAAACCAGCCACTTAGACCAGGTTTTTGGTTGTAGGTGACAGTATTGCCTGTGTAGCTTAGTCTCAGATTTTGTTCAACACTCGGGTTAAGTACCATGCAACATTATACTTCAGAAGACACACTCTCTCTCTTTATCTCTTTCTATCTAGCTCGCTCTGGCTCTCGCTCGCTCTGGCTGTCGCTCGTTCTGGCTCTTGCTCACTCTCCCACTTTGGCTGTCGTCCATGCGTGCTTCCTCCCAGCTCTGGTTGTTATGAGAACTGCAGTAAATTGCCTGCTATTGCATTCAGCTTGTTTTTACTCAGCACCAAAAGATTTAAGGGTGCATTTCAACAGGCAGATCATGAAGATATCGGAGGTTCTAAATTGTTTATGCAGCTATGCATTAAGTGATGAAATCTTTAATGTTGGCAATTCAGAGCTAGTTGATAAAATGGTATCATAGGAGCAGAGAGGCCGACGTTTCGGGCCTAGACCCTTCATCAGAAAAGGGGGAGAGGAAGGGGGTTTTGAAATAAATAGGGAGAGAGTGGGAGGCGGATAGAAGAGGGATAGAGGAGAGGATAGGTGGAGAGGAAACAAACAGGTCGAAGAGGCGGGGATGGAGCCAGTAAAGGTGAGTGTAGGTAGGGAGTTAGGAAGGGGATAGGTCAGTCCAGGGAGGACGGACAGGTCAAGGGGGCGGGATGAGGTTGGTTGGTAGGAGATGGAGTTGCGGCTTGAGGTGGGAGGAGGGGATAGGTGGGAGGAAGAAGAGGTTAGGGAGGCAGGGACGAGCTGGACTGGTTTTGGGATGCGGTAGGGGGAGGGGAGATTTTGAAACTTGTGAAATCCACATTGATACCATTGGGCTGCAGGGTTCCCAAGCGGAATATGAGTTGCTGTTCCTGCAACCTTCGGGTGGCATCGTTGTGGCACTGCAGGAGGCCCAGGGTGGACATGTCATCTGAGGAATGGGAGGGGGAGTTGAAATGGTTCGCGACTGGGAGGTGCAGTTGTTTATTGCGAACCGAGCGTAGGTGTTCTGCAAAGCGGTCCCCGAGTCTCCGCTTGGTTTCCCCAATGTAGAGGAAGCCACACCGGGTACAGCGGATGCAGTATACCACATTAGCAGATGTGCAGGTGAACATCTGCTTGATGTGGAAAGTCTTCTTGGGGCCTGGGATGGGGGTGAGGGAGGAGGTATGGGGGCAGGTGTAGCACTTCCTGCGGCTGCAGATGTGGAAAGTTTCTCTACATCGGGGAAACCAAGCGGAGACTCGGGGACTGCTTTGCAGAACACCTACGCTCGGTTCGCAATAAACAACTGCACCTCCCAGTCGCGAACCATTTCAACTCCCCCTCCCATTCCTCAGATGACATGTCCATCCTGGGCCTCCTGCAGTGCCACAACGATGCCACCCGAAGGTTGCAGGAACAGCAACTCATATTCCGCTTGGGAACCCTGCAGCCCAATGGTATCAATGTGGATTTCACAAGTTTCAAAATCTCCCCTCCCCCTACCGCATCCCAAAACCAGTCCAGCTCGTCCCTGCCTCCCTAACCTCTTCTTCCTCCCACCTATCCCCTCCTCCCACCTCAAGCCGCAACTCCATCTCCTACCAACCAACCTCATCCCGCCC